AACGTATCAATCTGAAATAGTAAATATATTATTCGAAGGTTTTGGAGCACTCGGCCTATTACAAATAGTGCTATTTTTTGTTTAAATATTATTTTGATAATTATACTCTCAACTTTAGCTTATTTTGGTCAATGTATTTTTAAAGTTCATAATTTGGTCTCGGTATTTTCAACTTTTGTTCATTTCAATCCATATACTTTAAAACGTATGTTTTGGTTCGTATATTTTTAAAAGGCGACCATTTTGGTACAAAACTTTAACAAAAACTTTTATATATAATAGAAATCTTTAAATACATATTTATGGCTACATTTTAATCAATTTATTGAGTAAATATCATGATAAAATTTTGATCAAAATCAATGAGGTAAAAAAAACGAAATGACCAAAATGATTCGTAGTGTAGAGACTAAAACGAGCATTTCGAAAGTACATGAACTAAAATAAACAAAAATTCATAATAGGATAATCCAACCATTTAAAAGTACACAAATTAAAATAAACTAAAATAAGAAGGATGTAGATAAAAATAATGTTTAATTAAAATAAACTAAAATAAAAAATATATTGGTAAAAATAATGTTTAAATCTAAATTTTAATTTTTTTGAAAACGAAATGATTAGGTCTCTTTCCCCACCGTCCCTAGCAATAATTTGTATAATGTGTTTAACATCTTTTATTCTCCTCCTGTCAAAGTCAATGTGGTTAGTCAAAAGCTGCAATCGTAATTGTTTTATTAGAATTAGTATCTTTAAAATAAATGTTAGACGTGACATTATTCCAAATTTATTATTCATCTTCACGGCTACTAACTGAAAAAAAAAATAATAAAGAGAGAAGAAAAAAAGTATGACATTGAGGCGGGAGTGGGATAAATTTCAGTCCCCATTCTCATTTCTCACTCCAATTTTCCGTCTTTTATTTTTTTAATTTCAAGATTCATTATTTAGAAATTTAATCCTTTATTAAGAAAGTTCATTGTGTTTTAAATATTTGAATAGTTTTTATTAATGCATGAATACAAAGTTTAATAAACATATAGCATAATTTTAAAAAATATTAGATGATTACGGGTCAAAATTAGAGTGGGTAGTAAATTTATCACCATCCCTAAAATTAAGTTGATAAGAAAAAAATATATTTTGGATTAGAAGAATAAATAATTGTTATCCATATTTAGTTCAAGTCGAGAGGATTTTAGAAGTCTAGATTTGTGTAAAATATAGTTTGAAAGCATGGATTGATTTACCTTGTATTTGTATTGGGTAAAAAAAAAAGTTTTATAAACTGGTCATATGTATTAGAAATCTAAAATACACTCAGTCAGATTAATAAGTTTTTTTAAGTACAATATGTAAGGAATAGATTCGAATTTGCAACTTTTTGATTCGAGATAGGTGACTTATGTAATTAAGTTATGCTTAGATTGACTTCTAATTAATTTGAAATAACCTAACTTAAAAGTTTAAGTTAAATTTTTGATTGTTAATGAATTTTATAAAATATATTTTAAAAATCATAAAAGGTCATTTTCAAACTTGTATTTTTTATTTTTTAAACTTGTCTAAATTTTCAAAAAGTATTTTTAAGGAGCATAGGAAGAAAAAAGGAAAGAACACACAAAGACACAAACTAGTTTATTTTTGAAAAAAATAGGTACCAGAGATGAGAACATATATCTCATAGCTTGAGAAGCATTATAATGTTGTCTTCATAACTGGCTGAAATTAATAATGTTCTGTATATATATATATATTTTTGCTATAATAATGTTTTGCATCTAAAATATGTCTATTTGGAGTACTATAAATAGATGACTATGTCAAATGAGTGCACATGTCCTGCTAATTTAATATATTGACTACTTAGTATAAATAAACTATTTAGTTTTTAAATTAAAAAATTAATCGCACTATTTCATTGAATGAGTCTCACCATATTACATAATTAAGAATTGAATGATTGTGCTTATTTTATTAGGTTTTTCCATCATAATATAATGCAATTTTATTATCTTCCATCATTTGCGATTGTGTTGTATACTCTTTTTTTTTTTTTTTTTTTTATCCCAGTAAGAAAAGAGATTATTAGACAATATAACATTTCGTAAGCAATTGGGATAAAATTGGCAATTCACATGTTAAAGAAAATGAGGTGAATAATGAAATTCTATACTAGGGGGGCCAGTATATACCTACGTGAATTTTGATTATATATATTTTCATTCATTTATATATGTAGATTATGTGTTGGGGTTTTTCTTTTGTTTGCATAATTTATTATTATTTTTTAAATATTTGATATAATTTTAGGTATTTTTTTAATTAATGGTGGTAGGTGTATAACCATAAAAATTAACCTAGAAATTTTACAGGAGAGGATAATGATGTAAGGTCTATCGACAATAAATAATTATTTGTGAAAAAAAATCATAATACAAATAAAAGGAATAGCTACTACTAAAAATTTTCTCACGGCAGTTATCATATTGGAAAAAGAAAATCTCATAGCTTGCTAGTTAAGTTCCATTGTTTTAGCCAAACTATTCTAAAAAAAGAAACAATTACTTTTAATTAACTGATAAATTCAAATTTAAGCTATGTTTGGTTTCTTATTTTTATTATTATTTTTTATTTTTAAGTTAATCACCTATGAGGCTATAAGCCTATAACTGCTTTGTTAGAGTCAAAGTTACGTATAAATACTACACCTACTATTTCTGTTGGTCAATGGATCTCAAATATACAGAATAGGATTCGACTAATAAATAACAATTTAACAGCTGGATATGTTGTTTAAGTATTGTCGTTAGAGGTAAATAAATAAAGTGCTGATGCTCTAATTATATAAGTATTTTTTAAAAATAATTGGTTAAGTTTTTTTTTTCTTTTTCTTTTCTTTCTTTTGGGAATTGCCCCAACCAATTTTGATTGTTGAGAATTTTAAAAGCGTTTTTAATTAGTCAAAAATACTTTTTATCAATTAAAATTTTTTTTAATCTTAAGCACTTTTAAAGTCATGTCTAGTAAATACAATCCCTTGAAAAGTGTTGGATATGTAAATGAGTAAAATAGCACAAATTTTTCTTAGCGTGGCAACTTAACTATTGTCATCTATTAAACTATAACAAACCATTTGACAACTAATGCAACGTTTGCTAAGAAAATCAACCATCACAATCTTATTGATTTAGCACTATATTCGGAATTGTGCCTCGACACATTACCTACAACTGGTTCCAATTCGTGTATCTCTTTTGATCTGAGAAATATTCAATTTATAGGTAGGTAGGTATTTTTCTATTTACCACCAATAAACAAATTGATATTTATTTATTATATCTTCTCTCTATTTCTTTATTCATTTTTCATATATTTCAATTGTCAATTTTTTAATTATGATACGTAAAAGATGCCTTGTTAACCAGTACCTAAATTTTATTATTATAAAAACTTTATTAACTAAAAAATTGAAGGTATTTAGTAGGCACTATATATTTTGGTATTAAGCATCTACTGACTATTTTCTTGCAAGTTTTCCTTGACCTCTTATAGTTTCTCTTGCATACATTGATTGTCAATCAATATCGATGTGTACTAAGTCAACAAAAATTCGAAACCAAGAAAAGTATATATATATATTTGATATTTTTATAAAACTAAAATATCTTTGCCAAACACACATCCACACATATGAGAGAAAAAAATCCAAAATTGTTTTGATACATTGCTTTTCCATATATACTTTCATTCACGTGAACAACGGAATTTTTTCTTTCTTTCAAAAGCACTATCATTTCATTCAGTTCTGCAAGAGATATTTATTTTTGGAAACTGTACTTTCAATAATAAAATTTCACATTCATCAAGTTTCAAAAACTGTTGAAATGGACATGAATAATTCATATACCCCGTGTGACTTAATTAAACACCCATTATTTACTAAGAAGAGCACTAGATTACAATTTCCTTTTGAGAAATTAATGAACAAAATAATATTGTATTAAGTACTGGAGTGTAGTGGAGAAAAACAAAGAAGGCATGATTATAAGTGGAGTTGAAGGGAAGATGAAAAAAGGGGACAGACAAAAAAAATTTATGGTACTATGAGAGCGTCGTACTCCCTTTCATTTACTGCTTGTCACATTATCATTGTATTAAAAATATCGTGGGATCCATTCGTTTTACTTATCGTGTAAATAGAGAAGAGTATCATACTGCCGTAGTACCCAAAAATTTATCGGAGAGGGAGTTTAAGGGGATGCTCCAAGTGTAGAAGAGGCAATGGAGCGAAAGAGGAGGCAGAGGCAGTGGTTGGGGAGAAGCTTGGTGGCAACCAGGTTTGATTTTAGGGAATATCTCAAAGGGGCAGGTGGGGCCAAATATGGTGGTGGTGGTGGGGTCACGTGGCTATGCTTCAATCTTATATTGTTCATGCAACCACACGCCACCCGGCTGTGCCCCAAATAGTGACAGATAAGACCCATCGTCAAACCTTTGTAACATCCCCCCCATTGCCCGTATTAACCACTCTCTCAATCTCATCTCATCTTCTCATTTAATTTGTTTGAAAAGAATAAAGATGGTGTTTTTTTTGTTGTTGGGGAATTTGGGCATTATTGGGTCTAACCAGATTCTGATTTGGCAATCGAGTTCTATATATCTTTACAACTCAAAAGTTTGACCAGCTTGATCCCTTCTCCAACGGTTGAATCTTCTTTAATGTTGGATGAATCTTTGTTAAGTTAAATCAATAATGCCTCCTTTTTGTAAGGAAAAATATAGCACCAAGAATGGGGAGATTTTTGAGCTTTTTTTTGGGGGGGTGGGGGTTGGATTCTCTCTTTTTCATGTGTGTGGCCGGGGGATTTATACGAGTGATTTTTCCCCCTTTTAAATTTAAATGTGATGTGAAAAAGAAAATTTTGTTTGGAAGAAGAGAAAAAAGAGGGATAAATTTGTGCTAACCTGTCTGTGTAGTGTAATCTCGAGTGTATTTTGGTACTACTAGCTTTGTCTGTTCCCAACTTTCAACTCTCTCTTCTCTCTCTCTCTCTGCAATTATTTTTCCCGTCTCCAAAGATCAACCCTTTAAAAATCAGTTCCTTCTCCACAGTACAAAACCCAACCCCAAGATGCGCCTCTGTCTCCGTCTCTTCCATCTTCTTCAAGCTTCCCTTCTTTCCTTCTCCTCTTGCCCATCTTCTTTATGAACTAATGCTTACAAGAGATTTTGTAGATTGGTGCTCTTCTCCAAAATGGACTTTGGGGTAGTGGGCTTGGATAGTTTTGTGGATTCTAGCGATGCCCCTTCTCCTCACCCTGCTGCAGACCCTGAAACTAAGCTAAAAAATCTTGGATCTGTTTTCTCTAAGCAGGATAGATCTGGGTTTGTCGACGATGACTGGAGGAACTCCAAGATTCCCAAAACCGAAGCTGTCTCAGCTTCAAAGACAATGCCGCTACATCAAGGCTTCCCTTTACTGAGATCTAATACTTTGCTCTCCAGTGATGGGCGCCAGAAGGAGCACATGCTCAGCTTCTCTTCAGTCAAATCTGAGACTTCCTTGCCATCTAAAGACTCTGACCTGGTTCCAAGAAATGCCCAAGCCTCCATTTTCCATTACCATCAACAGAAACCTTCAGTCTACTCCAGAAATACTGGTAAACAATAGCCTCTACTTCTGTGAGTTTCATTAAGTTTTCTGTTCTTTTGTTTCCCCATTTCTTGAGGTCTAGTGACTCTAGTCCAGTGGATTGCCATTGTCTTTTTATCGATAATTTTACATTATGAGACGTGCTTCAATCTTAGGGAAAGGTTCAGTTGCATCTGTGTGAGAGAAGGTGGAGTTTGTTCCCAAATTTCATTTTCAGACTTGGTTGAATAAAAACTCTAGCTTCCCTGATTCGTTTCTGGGATCGGTTTGGTTTTGGTGAAAGTTTTAAGCTCTTAGACTAGAAACTAAAAGGAAAAACCAAGAGGGTCCACAGTAATTACGAAACTTCCATTGTTTTAAATAGAAACATAAGCAGTGAGTTGAAGGTTTTCTTGGTGTGCAGGATGTGTTTCTGGAAGCTATAGTGGTAGCATGCATGGGCCTGTAGCTGGGATCAGAGGACCATTTACACCATCTCAATGGATCGAGCTTGAACATCAGGCATTGATCTTCAAATACCTCTCTTCAAATGTGCCTGTACCTTCTAATTTGCTCATTCCCCTCAAGAAATCGCTCTATCCCTATGGCTTGACTAGCTCTTCTGCTGGATCCTTGCCTCCAAATACAAGTAATAGTTTGTTCTTTTTGTTTAACATGTAAATGAATCTGTGTGTTTATTTTCAGAACTCTGCTCTTTGTCTTTGTCTTATTATTTATTGCATTTGGGGTTGGGGCAGGTGATCTGTTCATATGCATATGCCTGCATTCTCAAAAAATGGAAGATCTGAAAAATTTTCCGGCCATTTTCAAAAAGTAATGTGTACCGGTCATGATTAAATATTCCATAAACGAGAAAAATCTGAAGTTCTGTTGTGTTTTTATCCGTCATCACATGTGTTCAAGTATTATTGCTATAGAATATATGCTGGTTTTGGGGCACAATATATATGCATCATGCTTTTCCCTTTATCTGAGTTGTCTTTTGTCTTTCTTTATCTCTCTCATTCTCCGTTTCTCTGGTGTCTTTCTTTGTCAATGTACTGTAGGGTGGGGTTCTTTCCATTTGGGTTTCTCCGGCAACACTGATCCTGAGCCGGGAAGGTGTCGTCGAACCGATGGAAAGAAATGGCGGTGCTCTAGAGATGCCGTTGCCGATCAGAAGTATTGTGAAAGGCACATAAATAGGGGCCGCCATCGTTCAAGAAAGCCTGTGGAAGGCCAGACTGGCCACTCCGCCCCTGGGACCACTAATCCAACAGCCATGGTGGCGACGATGACGTTGTCACCGGTGATGCCCAGCGGCGGTGCATCCAACAACCACCCTATCATTCAACACCAGCTCAAGAGCTTGCATCCTGGTGCTGCTTCCAATCCAGCCGACGCCCCCGTCAATAGGTAACCTTTTTTCACTCCACACAAGAGAAGAGAAGAGAAGAGAAGTGAAGAGCCTTCATTTCTCTGTCTTGATCTTTGAGTAAAAACGAACTTACATACATGAACTTGAACAACAAAGATGAGAGAATTCAAACTCTTAACTCTCTTTTCCTCTACTTTAAGGTAGATGGTAGACCCCATGGTTTCATCTTTGCTTTAATGAAAGTGACTTGTCAACTTAGTTGAGACTTAGGATTCCTTTTCCAGGAAGATATCATCATATTGCTATCATTTTCAGTTGCTTTGAATGCAATAGTTGGGTTAAAGTGATTCATGGGTTAAAATGGTATCCCCATTACATTATAATGGGCCTCTGGCTATCATCAATTCAGTTCTGTATGCTTTCTTTTGTGTAACTTTCAATTTACCTTTTGTTCCCTCTGTATTTACCTTTCTTTAGGTTGATAAACAAAGAGACTGTGTGTAGCAGAGTCCAAGAGCCTGGGGGCCTCTCAAGGATGTCTTCCACCGTCAACCTCATATCATCTAATGATAAGTCTGGTGTAAAACAGGAGATTTCATTAGGAGAATCCACTCAATCTGAATTTGGACTTGTTTCCACTGATTCCCTCCTGAATCCTTCTCAGAGGGGCTCTTATGCCAATCCCAAAAACTATGACTCCTTCCTAATCTTCAATGACCAGGAAACCCAAGACCAAGACCAACATCCACTTCGACAGTTCTTCGAAGACTGGCCCAAGGACCAGTCGAGTCGTTCGGTCATGACTTGGCCTGAAGAATTTAAGTCAGATTGGACACAGCTCTCCATGTCAATACCAATGTCTGATTTCTCCTCATCGTCATCCTCACCGACGCATGAGAAGCTGGCTCAATCCCCACTCAGGCTGTCTAGGGAGCTTGAGCCAATCCAGATGAATTTGGGGGTAAGCAGGAACGATGGAGAGCTAGTTCAAAAGCAAAGTAACCAGATAGCAATGTCTTGGGGAAGTTCAATGGGGGGTCCTTTGGGAGAGGCATTGACCAATGGCAGTAGCTGTGTGAAGGCAAGCAAAGTGCCACCATCACTAAACCTCCTGGGCGAAGGATGGGATGGCAGTCAGCTGGGATCGTCGCCTACTGGCGTGTTGCAGAAGGCGACATTTTGCTCCCTTTCGAATAGCAGTTGAGAAGAAGCAGCAGCTCGAAGGGGGACGAGCAGGCTGAGAAGAAGAAGAAGAAAGCCAATGTTGCTGCTGGTTCATCAAGCTCCTTTCTTCCTTTTCTGTGGTCAGGAGCTCTCATCAGTATTCATGAAGAAGGAATGGAAACAAAAAAACGACGAAGAGAGAAAAAATGGGGGAAGTCTGGTGGAATATGTGATTGATTCAGAAGTTGGGACCTTTTTTAATTTGTTCCATTTTCCAGCTCAGTGTAATCTTTTTTTTTTTTTTCTTTTCTCCAACTTATTTGTTTGTTTGTTTGGTTTTCAAAAAGTATTGACTTGGAGTTGATTATAATTCGAACAGGGGGCATTCACTATTTTTTCTTCCCCTTGATGTGGATTTGTTGTTAATCTACAGTTTTGTGAATTCGAATGAAAATTCCCAATCCATATCAAGTATCCAGTATCCATCATTCTTCTTCTGCTTGTGCTTGCCTGTGACAGTACAAAAATCAATCTCCCACAGTAGAATTAGAATCCAAGCTGGTGACTGTGTTGTATACTACAAAATGTTTACTGTGCAATGAAGAGAAGGCAATGTTGAAAGTTGAGATTATTTGTGATTGGAAAGTTGAGTTTTGAGTTGCAGACAGGAGACACTTCTGTGGGCTGCCAACCAGGCAGATTTCATCCTTATGGGCCATGGCCCCATCAGTTAGTTCACCAACCAGGGCCCACTCGAAGACTTTATCAGGATTAGGCCCATACTTCCCCCTTTTTTCTTTCAAAATTCAATCATATATACATATCAAGCTTCTATTTTAATATAATACTTTCAATTCTTATTTTTATCTCAGTTTGGATTTCATTAACATTTTTTAAAGAGAAAAGACAATTGTTAATAAAAATAAAAAGAAAAAGAAAAAAGCAAGCTAACATAATTTTAGAAGACAACAAATGAAAAACAAATTTATATACTAACCTTATTGAAGACAATATAAATAAAAATTTAATTAATTAGCAAATAAGTAAATAAAATGGATTAGTTTGAAGACTGAAGAATGCTCATCAACCTCGTTACTATTTCAAAAACTACTAAAGTTTGTGCAAACAATAAATAAAATAGATTAGTTTCAAGAATGAAACATCATAGAGAGAAGTGCTCATTCCTAAAAAACATAACAATAATCCCAAATAATTAAATAATTAAACACGCTTGGTGGAGGCCCTTCTATTTTGAGATAGCAATTTGGCGAATCTGACCAAGGCTCGTGCAACCCATGTGCACCCCATTCTTCACTTCCTTGATAGGCTTATCCAACAACCCTTCGCGGATTTCTACGAGCCGCCGAAGGTTTTGATCTGTGGCAATGTCCAATGATGCTATGGTGCCATTGAGCGTGTCTTCTTGAATGCGAAGATAATAGGGTTTAATCGGAACAGTGTCCAATGAACAATGGAATAGCTTGTCCCACGTTGTCGAACTACTGTCATACAACTTTTCCATTAGAGGAGTTGAAGAGCACAACGAGCCGAGTATGTTCCACATGAAATCCTTTGTAATGTTGTATGTGCTTTTTAAAGAGCCGATACCGAAGGATATAACAAGACTTCTTTTTTTAAACATGGAGGAACGCTTGATCTCAGATGTCCCAAAAATGATCTGTAATTAAATTAGAACTTGTCAAGAAATCATAATGATCAACTACTAATAAATGAAAAATAGAAGAAAAGGAAAAAAGAGTATTTAATTACCGGAGCAATCCCCCATCAATAAGATTAAACTCCCTCACACTCTGTTGGGCAGGGTCAAAAGTTTGGAAATAATGGTAAGGGAGATAAGTGGGCATTGCTGGAGATGCAGATGTAGGAAAGTTTAGCATCTAGGGATGGGTCTGTCTGGACCTGTAAATGAAAAAGAAAACACCCATTAGGTTTAATTAAAATCACAAGAAATTACAGGACAAATTTCAATCACACAACTAGCCTCTGAATGAGAAAATAAAATGGGACCTTCGATCTTGATGTCGTAAATCGGTATTATAACAGTCGTGAGCGTCTGATTTAATTTAGTGTCTCCAAGGAGGTATCGTAGATAGTGGTCGATGTACTTCGTGCACATCAAATAATAGCCATCTACCATAGAAAAGAAACATAAAATTAAACCCAAAAGAAAAAAAATAAGAAAAAGAGAAACCTTTAAACCAAGATTGCTCACTAAACTCATGCGGCAATCAAATATAAAATCATACCATTCGCAATAAATAGTGCCTAAAATGGGGACTAAAACTCGAGAGGATAGAAAATTCTAAAAAGATTTTTGATTTACACCTACTTATATACCAGATACAACAAATAGGAAATCATTCAATTTAAAAATTTTAAGCGGATAAATTTAATTACATCTTTAATCTTAACGAAACTAAAAAAAAATGGAAACCGATGGATTAGGGATGGAAAAGTGTGAAAGGAAGTTTGGAAGTTACCTTTTGTAGGGGAATATTCGAGGATAGTGGTGGAGGAAGAAGGCTTTTAATTCTTCCGCTGAGAACAATGGGCGGTCCTTCTTATCCGCTGCCGGTGCCGTTAACATAGCCGCCAATAAACCGCGGCTACTGGCTCCAAGTATTACATCAAAATACTCTACTATTCTGGCATCATCCCCGTCCAGTTTCTTCGTTCCATAAGAAAAAAAAACATGTACAATTTAATTTTTTATTTAAATTAATATTTATTATGAAACCTATACACTATTTATATGTTTTATTTTATTTGATCGAGAATATTCCCTAGTACATAAATATGTTTAGAGCCCTTGTGAGCAAAGTCTGGCCTTTTAAAAAGAAATCTAAACTAATGGTAATTGTTTTGATGCTCCTATTGAGACCTCTTCTAGAAAGCCATGGCTAAGGTACCAAGGATCTCTAAAACAGGATATTGAACCTGTGATTGGAAAGTCACAGATCTTGAGTCGTTTCAAAATCTGGCATTTACCATTTCCCAAAATCATTAACGGCTGTCTTAATTTTAAATGCCCCATCAGATCCAAAAAATTAGGACGTTACAAAACGAAATGTTAAGGACAGCATTAATCCTCCGGTAATCACTAACATGTCGACATTTTCATGGCCGACATGTCCATGTATTCATGAGTTCGACATCGTAAATCGACATTTCCACCCTGATTTAAAAAAAATAGACAAAATATTTAGAAATATGAAAATGTTTATTGCGTTAATATAAATATTTTTTACGATTTCCTAATTTTTTCAATTTTTATATAAATATCTATCGACATCGACATTTCTATCCAACATTTAAAACCTTAATCATTCCTAAAATGTGACTTTTGACACCGCTTGTACTTCGTCCACGGCGTTTGGTATTTTTCTCGGTGATTCGCAAGGGGGAATTATAGCAGAGCATCCCCCGTTTATCTTGCTTTTTCTCTTCCACTAATTGTTGGTACAAAGATTTTCTTACGTGGCTTTTGTACGTCGTTAAGGGTGATTTTCCTTTGAATTCAGTGGCATCTTTGCTTAATTAATGAAATTCTTTCTTAAAAAAAAACAAGCTATGATTTATTTTATTTATAATTTTCATTTTAATATCAGATACTTGCTCGTCAAATACACAGCATTACACTTGACAGTGAAAAATAGCTTCATAATATTTTCTGAACTAAATATATTAAATGATTCATAATCTTTAAAAATTCTCAATTCTATTATTAAAAAATTTTCAATCAAATCTTTTATGTTAAAACTTGTTAACATGAGACCGAGGAGTTATTATTTTATTAATATATTTATACTCGAGCCAACATAGTCAACCACTTTACAGAAAATGAGTTTGGTTAATCAATGGTGTGTTTAGGTGTCAAAAAATAACATATCTAAATAAAATTTGTCCACCATGTGATGTTAATAAATTTGGGAATGGAAATTTTTGTCAATTTTCTTAATTTAATTTGGACTTTTGATCCACTTTCTAAAATATTTTATTCACGATCAATCTCTTCATTTTTGACTTATTTTTTATTTTTTTATTTTGTAAAATTACCAAAATATCATCATTATTCAAGAAAGCAAATTTCTTCACAATTTTTATTTCCTCCCCTAATCTCTCGCCATAATCTCGCAATAATCAATTACAAGCCTAAAAATCTAACTTTTAAATTTGAAAAATCAATTATTACGAATTAAAAGAATATAATTCTAATTACAAATTTAAAATGGAAAAGATCTATTAAAAAAAGGTCGAAATTTCATAATAGAATATTAAATCGTTTAATATGGAAGATAATTACATCATTTGTTCAGATTTAATTAAAAAAAATAAGATTTCCATGAACTGTCGAGCAAATATTACATTAAATATCTAAAATTTAATTGACAGAGAGGATCAAGAAT